GTGCATATACAGCACTGAGCAGACTTAGTAAGGGTTAAATCGTTGTTTTTTTTTTATTAAAATACTTTCAATATTTATATTTTCCGCTTTCATACCAAACATGTCTAATGATGAAGCATTTAACTTTTTAAACTCAATAAGATTACTTGGATCATCAATTGTATTAGTTTGGTTGAAATAATTTTTTATATCTGAAACTAGACACTTCTCATTTGATATTACCAAATTTTTTTCCATTGTTTTCATCCAAGCAGCTGCCTGCTTGGTCAATAAATTTGTCAATTTCATACGATCGCTATCATATACAATTATTCTCAAGGAATCTTAGATAGGGTTGATTCAAAATCCTTTACATATTTTAACAAAATCAACGATTTGATGGATTTATATTGAATTATAATAATCTTCTTTTTATAGTTCACAATGATGTCAATACCCCATCGCCTTGCCTTACTTTAACCTCATATAATAAAATGCCATGCTCATTCAAAATCTTGGCAATAATAGCTTCAAAATCGTGGCCGATCTTGTGATTTGAATTTTGGATTATTTTTTTTTAAAAAAGATAGTTAGTGGTAGATTCCTATTCATCTCACATAGCAGCTGACTTCACCAAGATGTAACTCGCAGACCAGCTCAGTTTCCATTGAAAATAGAATCATCCTCGCATTCCTCGTAGAAAGAAATATTTCAGAATGAATTCTTTCCAATTTGAGATAGCATAACTTCAAAATCTCATATTTACTAAGTAAAAGGCATGGCCATCTTACTTTTCCAGAGTTGTCATCATTAATTAATGTGAATAGCTAAAATTCTATTTGGTCAAATTTATGACTGAATAGCTCAATGATAATTGCTACAAGAGTTAATTAATTATTTTCTATCCTCATTTTTTTTGCAATGCATCTGATCGAACCTATATTAAACACAACATCCTCAATAACAATTTGTGGCTTTTTATTAACTACTCTTTTTAATAATATTGATGATATAGAAATTAGAATTTTGGTATGAGTTGTTAATGATCAAATTGGGAGTTTGGTAATTTCTGGGTGTTCAGATAAAGATCTAGCAGTTAATGAAATTTGTGAAGCCAATTGGGCTTGAGTGGTTTCCAGAATTCTGGATGTTATAGAATTTGTAGTTGCCAGAATTCTGGATGTTATGGAATTTGTGGTTGCCGGAATTCTGGGCATCGTAGAATTTGTAGTTGCCAAAATTCTGGGCGTCATAGAATTTGTAGTTGCCGGAATTCTGGGCGTCGTGGGATTTGTGGTTAATATAGGTTCGATCAGATTCATTGCAAAAAAAATGAGGAGAGAAAATAATTAATTAACTCTTGTA